CTCCACCAAATATTTATTTCTGAACTCTTCCTGACTTATAACAGTAGTATTGTTGCTTCTAAATGAACATGAACTAGTTTTCTTTGAAAGCACTGCATCTTTTTTGTTATTTTGATCATTTCTCATTTTCTGCAAACAAGTTCTAAACCTTTGCTTGGAATTTCAGAGACATGTTGTCAGTAGTTCATAGAATAAAAGAACAATGCTCATTTTACTCAAATATATTCCTGTAAAAAGTTAAATCAGAGAAACTGATATTTTTAAGTGATCTCTTAATTTTTTCCAGAGCTGTACATGCCTCTATGAACTCAAAATTGTACTGCAGCCTTAGTTATACATGGATCTCCTTCAGGATCTAAATGTAACCCTAACCTTCTCGTGCAACTTTTCTTCTGCAATCTTAACTGCTTTATGCTCACTTTTTTTTTGTCTCCCACTTTTTAAAAACATCTTTTTAATTTCAATTGTGGAATGGAAAAATAAGTACATTGAGCTACAATCCTGAAAAAAAAGAGGTAAACTTGGAGGTAAAGTTAAGAAAGTAGTTGGTCAAGTGTGGTTGAACCCGTCTTACCTGCCCTCTCTCAAATTTGTTGAGGTTGTCAGAGTTACTCAGGAGGCGCTCACCAGTGTCTCCGTTTTCCCCATAAATATTAATATAGACGTTGGCATCTGTCCCAGCTCCCATCATGTCACCCGTGAAGACACACACTTCATAGGTGTTGACTGTCAGACAAAGCAAGCGATGAATTATTCACACTTTCTCCAAACTGTTGCATATGTTGGCCAGGATACAGTGTCAAATCAAACTGTTCAAATCACACCATCAGTTAAAAATGCAAATGTGCCCTAAATGGTATAAATAATTTAAATGAGTCACACAAAAAAAAAAATTCTAAAGCAGCACATCAGATGTCAGGCTGGTGCTTTCATGAGAAAGGCTTTAAGGGAAATTGGCGTTTTTAAACGCTAACAATACTCTTTTAATTATTAACATGAAGCCATGTTTTATTTTACTGATAAAAGATTGGTGGTGTTTAAATAATAATATTTGCAAGTAACATGAATGTAACTTGACTTTATAGCTCAAAGTTATTCATTGTAAATTCAGTTTGTCTTGTTTTCTGCGCTTGGATCACAGTTGGTGCAACTGTCCATAATTTTACTTTCTTGACTTCGATGAAGACTTGATAGAAAGCAGCAAAGACAACAATGAAAGCAGCCGTACATTCAGCCACATAAAAAAAAATTTAATCAAAGCGCTGCTGGAAACGTCCTTTATTGCTGCAACAGTTGAGTTGAATAATTGATTATGTGCATGAAAAGTATCAGTTTTATCGACTGTGACAAAAGCAGAGCTTGTTATAGTTTTGAAAGATAAAAACAAAGAGGTTATCTATTATTTTGAATGAGTGTCCAATAAATGCTCACATTATTTTTGCAAGTGCAGAAGATTTTAATATGGAGAAGCAATAATGGATTTCACCTCAGACGTCTACATCATTAGGTGAGGAGGAAGTCTCAGTGCTTACACATTTAGTGCCGTGTAAAAAATAATTTGGGGATAAAACTTATGCGACTTTGTTAAAGACGTTTGAACCGTCGTTTGAAATCTGAGTGGCCTCCACGGGATCTTACGTGGTTCCCTGACTTTTGAGCATGCACTAAACTTCTCAATGAAAATTAGACGATGTTTTTATATTTTCAGGCTTTATGTTAAATCTAAAAAAGCATTTGTGAAACAATACAAAAGAGGCCATTGCTCCACACTGTCAAGTTGGACAGGTTGGCTCACACGGTGCTGAGGAGTGAACTGGAAATCCCTTCAGCTGCGAGTCAAAACTGAAACTGATGGTTGAGGTGCAGAAAGCTTTTGTATTTCTACTGTAATTCTGCAGAGGAAACCTTCAAGATTATTGCTTTCATGCTGTAATGAGGATGCTGCGTAGACACTTTGAAATGGCTGTTCTTCCAACCATACCAGGGTTTGATTAAGTCATATAAAGAAAAAAAAAAAAATCACCATTTCTCAACAGGTTGTAGAATTATATCCTTAAATTTTTGTGTGAATATCTTCCTTCCTTCTCTTTGAAGGAACATAAATGTAAAAGTTAATCTTTTCTGTCTTTCTGCTCTTCGTCTGCTTCATACCTTCCAGATCCTCGTCTGCGTCCTCCGGCAGCAGCTCCACCACCAGCTCTCCGTCCTCCTCACCGCTGCTCAGCCAGCGTGAGCAGGGAAAATGGTACGTGAACACCACCTCCTGCATCTCCTCTCCTCCATCTTCATCCTCGTCCTCTTCGTCTTTCTTCTTTTTCTTCTTCTTCTTCTTGTCGTCCTTTTTCTTTTCTTTGGGCACCAGAGCCAAAATCAGGTGCTTAACGTCGACTGACTCCAGGAACCAGCCAGATCCGATCCCTGAGCCATCATGACCAATGCGTATTTTGAAGATCTTTCCCACGTCTTTGGCCTCAAACTGTTAAGAAGTGGGGAAGTTTTTGCATCAAATGTGAAACTGTTTTCTCTGCTTATTAAACAAAAACACATCTGGAGACACTCAACAGTAAAAATACAACCTTAAATATTTCAGTCGTGTTGCGCTCAAAGTTGTTGGATCTGTTCTCAAGAGTGATGGTTTCCGTTTTGCCTTTCTCCCCGTAGATCTGGATGAACACTCTGGCGTTGGTGCCGGCAAACATCACATCTCCTGTTACTACGGTTACCTCATAGTTCATCACTAGAAATTAAAACGATGAGTAACAAAAGAACAGTAAAGTGAGTTTAGGTCACTAATAGGATCCCTGCTGACATTAGAAATATGCAATTGTGTGCAATTAATAATCTGTGATTGACAGAGAAAAGATTTACATCATTAATAAATAAAAATCTTTCCTTTGTTACATTATGCTTCAAATAAAGGAAAGGATAAACCTTTGCACATTTCAGCTGCTGTGTTATCAGGACATAGTGGAAGTGTTATTAAACGAGTTCATTCAGTGTTGGTCCAGGATATTGAGGCTGTAATGTTTGTACTCTGATGAAAACAAAGAAAAATAAACCGTACATATCGGTTCTGTGCTCTTGGTAATTAAAAGTGCCCTCCTGGAGATTAATAATGTTGTTTTTTCCATTATGAAACATGTCTGTGTGACTGTTTCACCTACATTGCTCCATCTCCAGGATCTCACTGGGATAAATCTCCACCTCCGTTTTCCCATCAGCCTCGTCTTTGCAAAGCCAGCGGTGACTGGGAAACATGTAATTCTTCCCGTGGACCGGAACCATGATCTGAACGCTGTCCAGGAACCAACCAGCACGCATCCCTTTATTAGTGTGACCAATCATCAGACGGTTTATCTGGAATCGACCAAGAAATTAGACTGGGGTCAAACAGGTTGCACCACTCAGGCACCACAGTAGAGAGATTTTGGTCTTTCATCAACACTAAATGGGAAAACCTGTCCAATATCAAAGGTTTCCACTGTGAAGATGTCAACACGGCCCGTCTCAAAGTAGTTCCCCAAGTTGTTGGTGGAAACCACCAGCATCATCTTGTTGGTGTCGCCTTTTTCTCCGTAAAGCTTGACAAACACGTTGGAGTCTGAGCTTCCTCCAGGAATGTCGCCCGTCTTCACCGTGATCTGATAGCCGATGTCTGACACGAGGCGAATGTTTTAGCGACAGGATGAATTAACGAGTAAACGTGAGGCCTCCTTCCCACTTACTGTACAGACGCTGCCCATCTACGAACGGCACTAGTTCTCTGGTGATCTGTCCATCGTCCTCGTTGCGGTCCAGCCACCTGCACGGCAACACATGCAGGGAATGAAACGTCTAATGAATGACTGCTTTTTGTGCTCTCAGAACATTTCATTAGCAACATCTGCTTATTATTGTAATTATCTCTAGAGGTGGGAGCATAATGCAAAAAAAAAAAAAAAAAAAAAAAAGCAAACACACGTCAGGAGCTTTAGCAAAAATTTAAACCAAAGTTACATTATTGATGCCAGAAGAGGATTTGCTTTTATATGGCAGGGAAGTTTTTCAGCATGATCCTAAATTAAATAAATAAATAGATTGTCTGGATCGACTCTGTCAACACCGCCAGTCTCTCCTCTTCTGCTGAGACGTGTCACAGATGGTCTCCTCAGGATTAGGCGTCAGCAGCATGAATCTTGTCACCTGTCATGTGTCACTAACGTTCCCTGGCACATTTTGAGTCTCATATTCCTCTTACCACACTGTGGAAAAAAAGTCAAAGTTTTTTTTTTTTTTTTCTTTATTGAAAGCTCTGTCTAACTTCTCTGTTTATTGTTTTAATTTGGTCTAATTTTAAACTGTAATATAATTAATAGTGATCTTATTTGGAGCAGAAAGTCAGGATTTGTTTTCCCAGCATCAAACATGGCCAACATGATACGTTTGTGTGTCGTTTGGTCCTCAGGGTTAATGGAAATGAGTGTCTATTCCTTATTATCAGGACCAAAGGTCACTAATATAACGTTCATACAAAAGTATTTAAAACACTTGAATTTTTCCACATACTGTCACATAGCAACCACAAATCTCAATATAATATCACTGGGAGATCAAATTATGAGGAAATATGGTGGTCGATGTTTCTCCAATTGCATTTGTGCCACTCTTCCTTTGCTCTGATATAATGTCATATTAATTAACACAAATAACTGAGGTTACTTTCCACAACAAAAATTCAAAAATACTGAATTGAAAATAGAAGGAGGTCCACTCAATACTGCCCAATTTCACCCATTTTCAATTAATTTATTTTATCTATCTCTACTGTATGTATAATATGTAGACAAACCACTCCTGTTTATTTCAGCATCTGCTTGTCAAAATAAAATCTGTTGATTATTAATAAAGTCAAGCAGTAATGGGATAAAATGACCCAGTCAAAGTTTGAGACAACAAACAAAAACGTTATTGTTCACAGATGCTCTCTGTTCACTGCAGCTGAACTTAATTTGCAAACTCTTCAGCCTCAGATCTGCAAGACTAAAACCAGCATAATTCTGGTTCCACTTGACAATTACTTGTGTTTGTCATGTAAAAATTCAATAAAATACTTTAAAACTTTTGGTTCTCTAAGTTGCATGAACACTTCTGCAGTATTTATGTATTCATGAATATTACCGGTTGCAGGGAAACTCTACAGCGTGAGCCTCCGCCTTTCCTTCTTCTCTCACAATCACTTTGTCAAGAAACCAGCCGCAGCCGCCGCCTTTCCCGTCATGTCCGATCCTCAACCTGCGGATCCGCCTGATGGTCACCGCCTCGACTATAAACTCGTCCATCTGGATCGACAAGATAACAGCAGCAAAGTGTGGGTGGATTTGATTTTTTTAACAAAAAACTTATAAATAATGCAAATGAGATACTACAGCAACAGGAAGGGGACAGACAGTTCTGGTAATAGTAAATCAAGTTTCTGTGGTTTATTTAAGACAAGGACAAACAAACATTGTCATTCCAAAGGGCATATTTTCCCTCGCTTAGTATAATAAAGCTTAATATATAATTACAAGGGATACAGCTGTACACAAAACTTTATATTTTGGTATAATTTCTAGATGCTTCAATCCAGAATAAATGCTGGGTTTATTTTTTAGTTCAGATAGAAGCATTTTTTTTTTTCAATTTCTGACAACTTATTTGATTTTATTATGACCTAAAACGTAGAGAGTGGAATTTTTTTAATTAATCAAAAAATAGCAGCTGGTATAGCTAGTGCAGAATATAGATATTGAACCAAACCACATCAAAACCTACAACTGTAATGCTTTTAAATTAAAGTTATATTAAAAAAACCGACACAATTTATCTCTAAAACTATTAAGATTCACTGTGAAAAGTCCGAGGAGACCTCACTACTGCCCCCTGTGTGCAAATTGCTAGATGTAAAGTGTAAAATGTACCCACGTTTCCTTTCTCAAACTTGTTGACATTATTCTTGCAGTTGATCAGCTGCCGCTCCCCCGTATCCCCCTGGTCTCCGATCAAGTTGATGAAAATAGACGCATCCGTGCCGCTGCCGCTGACATCCCCCGTGCAGACTGTCAGCCGGTATTTAATCACTGCAGAACAAAACGACATCGCTGATAATCATTTGAATATCTTTATGAATAAGCAGGGTTTGATGCATCTGTTTGCGTAAAGACGTGCCGGGAAGTGGCTCAGCTATCAGGTCTCCGCAGGCTGGAAGCTCCCTCACAACTTCATTGTCGTCTTCGTTAATGTCCAGCCACCGCTCGCATGGAAACGTGTACTTCTCCTTTGTTAATGTCTTCATCAAAGTAACCTAAAGAAAATAAGACTGAGCGAGGTGAAGGAGTGCTACGGAGTCAACTGAGGTATATGCATGGACTGAAATATCAACTAAAAAGTGCGATAACTAAGTCAAAAGAAGAAAGTGCTTTGTCTTTTGGGTGTCTTTTTATGATATATTGTGCTTAAGATTTTGCTAATTGTTGAGGAAATATGGACTAAAGCAGAAATCTGTGGAATCATAAACATAAAAATAGAAAAAAATGCCAATTATTTATGTCAAGAAATGTCATAAAATGAGCTGAATAATTAGATTTTGAGAAATCTCACCTTGCTCAGATGCCATCCTGCAAAAGGATTTATTTTCTCATGCCAGATTCGAAGTTTGGTCAATTTTCCCAAATCTGGAAGCTCAACCTGTTGGGCAATAATATCATCTGTCACCTGTTTAGCAGATTTCAACTCTGTAATATATTGCTAAATTATCTCCTGCTGACCATAAACTTGTCAATTTGGCCCTGTTCAAAGTTGTCAGACTTGTTGTCCAGCCTGATCTCATCCGACTTGTTCTTTTCTCCGTAAACCTGAAAAGAGATGTCTGCGTCGGTGCCGGCATTGGGCATGTCTGTAGTCCAAATCCACAAGGACCAGGGATGCTCTGAGGACCGACAAACCAGACTATTGTTATTACTTGAGTTGGAATTAAAAAGCATTAAGCAGTGTGTTGTTTCAAGTCATAAAACCAGGAGCAAATGAGATAAAGCTGCCCATAAAGAGAGGAAATCAGAGAGGAATAATGAAATAGTAAGTTTGTAGAGAAAATTTAGCTTTCAAATGATCATAATGGCCATAATTATTATTAATAACATTATTAGAACTGTGATATAACTGTTTTTAATAAACGACATAGCTCTTGCCCTCTACCTGTTCCCCTCGGAAAGAGTTAAAGACACGAGCTCAACACTTCTAGGGCAATCCTAAGTTGGGAGTTTTCCTAAATACTTTGGGACAAGTAATTCTGGACTGATTTTGCTCCTATGACATTTCAGCAGAGCCCAGGAGAGGGCATTTTCTGCTTGTTAAAATATCCTCTCAGGGCAGAGACTCCTTGCTGGAGTGACTGAGTCCTGTGGACAGCTGGAAACAGGGCGACTGTGAGCGAACATGAAGACGGAAAACCCATTTTAAGAAGTAATGGGGGGGTTGCAAGCGTATTGTTGCATCCTAATTTGTAAGTTGCTTTGGGTAACAGTGTCTGCCAAATGTATAAATATGAAAATTAAAAATAGGGAAAATCAAAAATGTAATTAGTTTTTAAAGATANAGGATCNATAGTCNCTATTTCCATTTGTTGTGTTTTTAATCATGTCAGACATTGGAGAACTTGAATTTAAATAAAAGTAAAGTGGTCAAGTGGAGGAGAAGAGGTTAATTGTTAGACTGTGCTTTAGATGCTGCTTCTCCATGTCTGTTATGAGTCAATATAAATCTGGTTCGTCCCTTGAGTTAAGAAGTCATTTATAAGAGGTAAAGCCTTAAAACAAAGAGGAGAAAATACAAAAATTGAAGAAAAATAACTAATAGAAGCAGCTGAAGTCCAAAGATCAAGACCATTTTAAAATATTATTCGTGGATGTAAGTAGCAAAGAAACGAGGAAGGAATTACTCAAGACTTTCCCAAACTGTTGTACGTGAAAAGACCTTGGCTGATAAGCTATAATAATTCACACTAAACTCACTTTTCTGCCTCCTGTGCCTGAGAGAGACCATCTCGTACAGCTCTCTTTCAATCAGGCCGTCCCCCTCCTTCTCATCCAGCCATTTGCCGCACGGGAAGGTCTGCTCTATCCCCGTGAAAGGACAGTACACAACAACCTGTGGACGGACCTGATTCAGCCAATCCACAGTGCAGACTGCAGTATTTTTAACACGAGTATTTGATTTACCTTCTCGCAGTACCACCCGGCGCTAACCCCGTCATTGTCATGTCCAATCGTAACTCTGCTGAGAGGACTGAGGAGCGCGGCAATCTCAACGTTAAATATGTCTGTCAGTCCACGCTCAAACTTCCCTCCTTCCAGAAATACCTGCAGAACAGGGTGGCAGAGACGACTTTTCAATCAAATCCGGAGTCAGAGGCTGAAATTTATAAAAAGAAACTGAATTGGAAATGATATCCTGTAATGTGCAGCATGAAGGGTCTATTCTATCTGGCTTCTTTAGAAAAGTGACAAGCAGAAAGCTACTGCTAAAAGGAGGAGATAAACGGTGCACTCTGCAGTTTTACACAAAAAATTAGACAAAATGTGCTCTGGTTAGATGAGACTGCTTCACATGCAAAACAATCATTGTGGTGGAAAACTATCACTGCATACGGTGGTGGCAGGATCATGCTGGAGTTTTTTGCTGGTAAGGGTTTAAAGATGAATACAGAAAATTACTTGAAGAAAAACTGCAAAAGATATGGTACTGGAGCGAGATTCACCTTCATAATTGGCCAGAGCTACATTAGAATGGCCTATTCAAAGCCTAGATATGAATCCTATTGAAAGCATGAGAAAGAGTTCATAATTAGATGCTTTCCATGCAATCTCACAGAGCTAGAGCTATGCTGCAAAGAATTATAGGAACCGTAACAGACCTGCAGTTTTAGTGAATACACACCTCAATTTACAGATTTGCTGAAGATGAAAAGCATGTATCATTTTCATCTCATTTCACAATTATTCAGCACATCATGTCAATCTATTGCATAAAATCACAATTCAGTACAAAGCTTGTAGCTGCTTTCAGACAAAATGTTCAAGAAGAATTAATTATTTTGCAGAGCGCTGCGACTTTAAGCCAACAGTGTCGGATTTCGTTGAGCACAACTCTGCTTTGTTTGGATAAAAAGTAAACACTTCTGTTCTGTTCACGAGTTCTTCTCCGGTTCTGTTTCTTGTTACCTTTCCACTGTTCTTCATGCCTTTCGTACCGTGCATCACTATGTGAATTTTAGAGTTGGTTCCTGCGCCTCGGATGTTTCCCGTCACAATCTGAACGTTGTAGACGATACCTGCGGGATTGGGTTACCTGTTAGTTTATCACAGCTAGAGTCAGAGAGTCTCTCAGGTTCACTGCTTCCAGGTCCCAACAGGATGAACGGGAACACGATTACTAAGATGTAAACATCGCCAGCCTAAGCTAATTAATAATAATTACAAGGTTTTCTGGCAAAGGAAACAGTGGTTTAGAAAATCTTGCACCATCCTGTCAATGGTAGAAAAAGTAGATTTGTTTGTTTTTTATCTATGCTGCGTAGCTCACTGAGTGTTTTTCTCCTCACCTGTCGGCTGGTCTGCTCCCACCAAAATGTCCCTCTGAATCTTCCCGTCATCTTCATCCAGGGCAAACCAGCGATTGATGGGGAATTCATACACTACTTTGTTTCCCATGTCATCCAAAATCACCTGCAGAAAAACCAAAAAGCATTTCAAATTATTCACCACAACTGGCCTTAAAATGAATTAACCTTTTAGTGCACACTAAAAAAAATGTGGAGAGATCCAACTCTTTGGATTCAATGAGGAGCAAAGAAAAAAAAACTCCCTTTTTGAAACAATAAATTAAAGCAGTTCTTCAAAGTACACTTTACTTTAAGTTGACCAAAGTGACAAAGAACTTTTATAAATAATCTACAACTTCAATGTTTCCCAAAGGGAATGAACAGGTACTCCTCAAAGTGGGAAAGATAAGAAAACATTTGTGCATCGGCACATTTTGACCAGAGATAGCAACAGTGTGGAGTTTAACAAAACCAAAACACACCAGGGCACAGCCTGAGATCTAAATATTGCCACTCTAAATATTTACATGTATCCATATTATATAGTCTATATTTAAATAAACAATTGCTAATATATTAGTTGGAGTCCGTGCGAGAGCTCTTGCCTGTGATTGGCTGATCAGCTCCTTTTGACAAATACTTTCATACTGCCAAGAGGAACTGGCTTCATGAAATTCATCAGGAATCTTTGGTTGACTATGTCTGAAGAGAGGCCTGATTAACCTCAACAATCTGATTTCTTTCTGATTAGGATTTTCCAATCTGGTTTATTTATGTGAATTAACTTAATTTAATGTATCTTAATCTACATAATTTAAAGTCCTTGTTCTTCGTCTTTTAACTTTGGATGATGGGAATTTTATGAACTTTCTTTTTTTATTTTATTTAACTCTAAACTGAAATGTTTTCAGCTGCTCAGATCATGATGATATATTTTTTTAACTAATACTCCATCAAAAACTCCTCTTGGTATGCAAATTTGCATTAACATCTACACTTTAGAGTCAGTTGTCTCTGCAGTAACAAACAAATTTACTGACTCATCTGTCTGTGTGTTGTAAGGCTATCCCTTAATGAGGCAAGGTTTCCCTTTACACAGAGGCTAGGATGACGACATGCGTGTCATGTACGTGTCCGTGTACGCGCCAGTTTGAGCGAACTCATCTCTCACAGGCGCACACCGTACTGTACGCCTCCGAAGAGCTGAGATGGGAAACCCAGATAAGGAAGGCTGAAATGGAAATGAGGAGATCCAGTGTCTTAAGTACTACTGAGGAGGGCCTCAATGTTCTTCTACAACAACTTAAACATGTCCGTCTTTACTTTCAATAACTGAGATGGACAGAAAGAGAAATTTCTTAGCCTTACATATTTCTGAAATAAAGACTAGATTCAGTTTCCAGGCTGGTAAAGATCATTCATGTCTTTGCTCATGTTTGTTTTAAACTGCTGCCTGAGCTGCAGTTCAGTGCAAATATATGCAGCTCTGGAAAAAATGAAGAGCCCACTTCACTGAACCCCATGGAAAACCCCCTGGTTGCTCCAACAAATATTGATTTCTGAACTCTTCCTGAGTTAAAACATTAGTATTGTTGTTTCTAAATGAATATGAACTTGTTTTCTTTGCATTATTTGAGGTCTGAAAGCACTGCATCTTTTTCGTTATTTTGACCATTTCTCATTTTCTGCTAACTAAATTTTGCTTGTAATTTTGGAGACATGTTGTCAGTAGTTCATAAAATAAAAGAACAATGTTCATTTTACTCAAACATAAACCTATAGCAAGTAAGATCAGAGAAACAGATCATTTTAAGTGGTCTCTTAAAGTTTTCCGGAGCTGTGTAACTCCTTTATGAACAAGTGGAGGATTATGGGATATTTTACTTTATTTTTATTGTCTTCTATGAATGTGCAACTGCAAATGTTACTTATAATGTCTCTGCTATTGAAAAAATAAAAAATCAACCCCAGACTTAATGTACTAATGTTTATTCCTAGCAAGTCAAAACTTTGATCTGGCAAAGATTTTGCACATAAGATGAGCTTATTCTGCACTAACCAATAACTGGGCATTTTAATCCATCCAAACACGACAGACATTTATCAAATTTGTAAAACAGTTATCTGTGTGTCATTGATTAAAAAAACGGTCAGAAATGAAACAGTTTAAATCCACCAATATTATTACATTTTAGATGTGCCAGAATTTGTTCTGAAATTCTGACTTCTGGGTCGTTTTGTGTTTCCAACTTGGGAAATTGTGAATTCATAAAAAAGGCTGAAAAACATGAGATTTGAGATTTTTCTGTAAGCATATTTCATGTTTAGTTATACAGGCAGACATCTAACAAGTCTTGTTACTATGAAAAAGTTGCAGTGTGTGCCACCAGTTATCTGCAGCTCTCATGGACTTTGAGGCTGGAGATTTTGAAAACTACTTGACTTTTTAAGTTTGATTTATTTATTGTTTTAGTTTCCAACTGGGAACTTAGAAATTCCCACTTTTAAATAACTTTGTACTCCAGAAGTTTGAGAAACCGACTTCAGTGTGTGTTTCAGGTGATTTTTCTGACTGGAAATTTGGATCTCCAACTTTTAAGATGAACCTATTTACACTATTCTCACCTTCTCTACAAACCATCCTGCTGAGGAACCTTTGTTGTTATGGCCGATGGTGATCTTCCTAATTTTACCCAAGTTTGGCGCCTCAATGGTAAACTTGTCCTCTGAGTCCTTTTCAAAGTTATTTTTGTCACTGTCAAGGCACCTCTCCCCTGAAAAAAGAAAAGAAAAGAGAGATAGTACATTTTATCAGCTGAATTCATGAGTGGCTGCATCAAAACTAGAGTTGCTTCAAACTTCTGTTACTTTAGTTCTGGTTTGTTCTTTTTGACACTTTTATGGTTGAAAAATTGCATGTTTGTACAATTATTCTCTAGATGCTATGAAGCTGGAAGGATTTTTGCACTTACCTTTTTTTTTTTTTAACTTTTGGACAGTTGATATATGTAACCATGGCAACAAGGTACTGTTTTTACAATTAGGAGCAGCTGACTGGCATCTCTGAAGCTCAAATAATACCTGAATTACATTTCAATAGCTGAAAATTAAGACGGCTTTCTAACTGGACAGACTGGACAGACGTTTAGGAGGTGCAGCAAAAGCAAATGATGTGGATTAGAAGTGCTTGCAACGACTGATGGTGTCATTCAGGACATGTTACTGTGGATTGACACTAACAGGAGACTGTGATACAACAACAGTCTTCAGTCAGAGGTGTTTTTATATTCACTGTAAGACTGAATGCTACCGTAGATCCTTCCTGCCAACAGCATCACCATCCACAATTACTCGCTGAAGATAAATGGATGAGTTATGGCAATGTTTAATTTATATTTTTGGATAAATAAAACACTATTGAATTTTAAATTGATACCTAAATTGGGAGAAAAGCAACTTGTTTGATTGAACGCTGAGTACCTGTGTCCCCAAATTCGCCAAAAATATTGATGAAGACATCCGCATCGGTTCCACTTCCTTTCATATCCGCAGTAAAAACGCTAACGATGTATTTATTATCTGGAAAACCAAAGCCAAATCAAATAAAACATTTAAAAAATAATCCTTAAACCTATTTTCCAGTTTGTTTGTTTTTTCGTGACAAATAAGTTCTTACATTTGGGCATGTCCATTTGGTCCATGCTGGCCAGCAGGTCTCTGGCATAAAGGCCATCTCCCTCCTCTTTGCTGAGCCAGTTGTTGCAAGCAAAGTAGAACCTAAGATGAGGGCGAATGACATCCGTGATGACCACACGGTCCAGGAACCAGCTGGCGCTCATGCCCGTGTTGTCATGCTCAATCCTGGACAATCAGGAAAAGAACGTCAATTAAAGAAAGCAACTCATAAATCTATCTCTGTCTGAAGTCGAATCTAATAAGAATTTCTATAAAGAGAGAGGATCAGAGGTTCCTGTCCTACCTAATTTTTTTTATGTGTCCAACGTTGTGAGTTCGAATCCTGAACACATCGGTTTTGGATCTTTCAAAAGCGGTTCGACTCCTGTAATAAAAAAAATAAATACACATTTTAACCGTGTTACCATTTGGGTGATCTCGTCTTTGTAATTTCTATAATTAAAAAAAACAAAAAACTCTTAAAAAAACAGAAAAGGCTTTATATGGAGACATGAAGGGAAGATTTCACATTAATTTCCAGTAAAGTAAAATAAAGTCAACAAGCCTTGCAAAGATTTGAGAAAATTCATCCAGCGGAAGAAAGGTCATGCGAACAAATTAACACCAATCACTGCACTCAGTCTGCTCTGCAAAACATTCATCAAGTACATACTTCTTCTCTGTGCTGTGGAAGTGGAGGAAAAACATGAGGTTTTAAACTTTTGATTTTATCGTCATTAAACATATGGACGGGTTTTTGAAAATGAATATTTTTTCTTACTTGCTGGCCAGGTGGATTTTGGGTGTGATGCCGTACTCTCCGAACAGAGTGACGAAGACGTTGGCGTCAGTACCCGCTCCTCTCTCATCCCCCGTAATCGTCACCACCTCATACACTACAGGGTTTATAGAAAAACAATTATGTAGTTACATGCACAGAAGAACCTTTTACTGTCTTTATCTTCAGCTATGAAGTCAAGTTGCATTAATATTTACAGGACCCTCGTGTTCAACCTTGTGATTTTAACTTAGGAGGAATTATAAAGGGTAATCAACCACCTCTGGCACAGAAAAGAGTTCAGTAGCTCCAAATATTTAGATTTTTCTTTCAGTCAGCCAGACATTTTCAAAAAGCTGTTATCTTTACATATGACACACAATCTAGCCAAAAAAAAAATGATAGGGTTGTTGCGACTGAATGGGAGCCCCTCCTTGTTATTTCTTCTTCGGTGGTATTATTTTGTGAAATTGTTTGCAAATCTAAGGCTCTCCCCTTCTTAAATCTTGTCGTGTAGGTGAGGTGGTTTCATCAGAATACATCCAGTTTATTTATAGATTTATCAAGTGGTTTTTGGTTACCATCATTATTGTAATATGATGTGGTTGTTTTCGTTATTATTATTCTCGTCAGAAGAAACAGAAACAGAAATAATCCATCTCTAAAGACACTCTGTGTTACGACCAGAACTTCATATTTTACCCGGATAATGCCACCTACCGAAAGCTGGTAATCTTCAGAAAAAAGAAAAAGAAAAGAAGTGACCAGCTGCTGCTTGCCACACATATAATTTTTCCAATCAAATTAAGTGTCTACATTTTACTTAAGATCATGCTGCTGCTCTGATACACATAAACTCTGTAAAGATGTTGATTTGCATGAAATGAAAGAAAATGCTCTGTTTTCTGAATTCCCTCCTGCCTTTTTAAAACAGGTGTTGAAATAATTCAGTTTTTTGTTGTTAGTGAGAAAATGTTGGTGCTCATCAGGTTTGGTTTGGTTTTAAAGGGCCAGCAGTGATGGGCGTGAAACTGCCACTTTGTAATACTTAGTGACAAGTGTCATGTAGACAGGGTTTGATGATAACATGCTATCAACTCGGCTGCATCTATCAGTCTAAGGTTACGGTGAACATTAAACTAATCTCACACGCACTCAGACGTCTGTATTGATATCCAAGGATACTCCACTTTTCTGACGGTCAAATTATCCTTGATACTTTTCACCAAAAGTAAATACCTTACTCTGACAATTTATTGACTGTATATATATCTCGTTCAGGTTGTAATAAGAAGTTTGTATCACCTTTTTTTTTGTGGTATTCGTCCTCGTAGTTCTCCTGTAGCTCCGGCTCGTAGTTGCGCAGCTCGTTTTCGTAGATTTCAACATAGTTTTCAATCTTTTTCTTCTTCCCTTTTGTCTTCTTTGTGTCTTCATCGCTGTCATCTCTCCCTGAGCCTTTTTTCTTCTTGTCTTTCTTTTTCTTTTTCCCATCGTCCTCATCCTGATCGCCACCTTTTTTGTTTTTGCTCTTTGATCCCATTTTCACTTTGACAGAGAACTTCTTTGGTCGTCTCGATTACATCAGGGAGTTTTTCTCCTTTCCTTCCACCCAGGGTCTCATTATCGTTTTCTTTGTAGTCCTACTCATCCCCGCTCTCCTCTGTAGTTTATGCCTCTCCCGTCTCTTTTCCTCTCTTCTCTGTGCTCCTCACGTCATGCCTTGTGTAACCGTCTTCATCGCCTTCCTCAAACTTCTTCAATCTTCCAGTGTTCTTTGATTCACTTGCCTGCTTACTTTTCTTCCTTGGCTCGGGTTCCTGATCCTCCGAGTCGTCGTCATCTGCATCTTCGGTTTCCCCCTCTGCTCTTTGACACGTTCTTTTTTTTTCTTCTTTTTAGTGAGCATCTTTAATTTATTCTCTACCTTGTAACTGATTCCAGGGTGTTCCGGTGAAACTTGATTAAGTTGACCTGTGGCTGCAGGGGAGTGATGAGCTGGCAGCCTGAGCCAGACACAGAGCTTAGCATCTGCTCTTGAGGATGGGAGTGGGAACCTCATTAACCATGATGAATGACACATAGTCACCTGATCAGAGGAGGGAACCCTTAAGGGTAAAGGTAGGTCAGGCAGCAACTCTGTTTGATGTACTGCAAGAAAATTAAGAAAAAACATGAAGCTAATCACCAAACAAGGAATGATTCAGGCGCCGCTAGCCTTTTGAGGGCTCTAAGGACAATTTTTTTCTGGTGCTACTGGGAATGAACAATAACTGGGCAACTGTGACTCAGTAGTAAAGTAGTTATCTTGCATTTGGAAGACTGTAAGTTAAGTAAGGCGCTTAACCCGACATGGTGTCACCTGTCAGTCATTCTAGAAGGTTTATCAGCAACTGGTCGCACATTTGTCCGAAGTACACACCCCTTATCTGGAGGAACTGAACCTCCATCAACATGTCCAGGGTTTGTCATTGCTAATGCGCTGCAGTCACAGAAATTTCAAGGAAAATAATAGGAAATCATGGTCCAACTTTGTCAGTGGGGAATGTTTAATCCCGACAGCTGTTACCCAGAGCATGTAAATGGTGGAATACAATTTAATTACATTTCCAAAACCCAAATGAAGTCTGGAATATTGCAAGAAATTGACCAAGACAAGGTCTGCAGCCAGCCTCATGTCCAGTTAAATAAAACTATGATCAATGGCATGAAGGTCACTGGTAGTAAACGTCCCATTTTTATCATAACACTTATTGATAGTCAAATCAAAGGTAGTTATGCTTGATTTTATGTGTGTATATTCCAATGGCAGCTCATGAAAACATGTGCTGCAGTAACTGCAGTATTTACATGTAAGCACATTAGCATCTAATGCTAATGTGTACTTTTAAGCATTTTCCTTAAAGCAGATTTCCACAAACCGGTATTATTTAAGTCCTTTCTCACCTGTTTCGTACGTGCAAAACTTTTGCGTCTGACACAGCGTTCACTCTCACCTCCAATGAGAATTTGTACCCCTCATTCTTACTCTGGCTGCCAAAGTCTTGGGCTTTAACATTAATTTCTCTCTTGTTTCCCGCAAATAACCTTACAGACTTGATGTACGACTCGTTGGAACATTTTCTTGTCTATTGTCTATGTCTCGGAGTTGACTGATGAAGCAAAAAGTGACTCAAAAAATGTCTCGGGTCAGGCATTGAGCTCCACTACCTGTTGGTTTGGTGCAGGTTTGCTCTACTGAAGTGGGCGGAAGTAGTTTAACGTGTCTTTAGCATTCACAAAACACAAAATCTTATCAAGTATTATTGGTCTAGTTTCTAGTTCAAATATCTTAGTACACTTGAAATAAGACAAAATAAATGTACCAGTAACTTAGTAACTTTTTTTGCAAGAAATAGTAGCTTGTTTTAAGTCAATAATGTCGTAATATTGATGAAAAAGTACTCTTTGTAAGTGAAATAATCTTCATTCAGAATTCAAATCCCTAAATCTAATATAGAATATAAATCAGTATTGAATAAATTATTACATATAACGAAAAGATTGGTCTAATTCAAGCCAATTAAACATATTTAAATCATTAAAATAAAACGTAGCTTTGTAAATAAGTGGAAAAAATACATTTTGCGTTTATTTTGTACGCCGCTTCACTATAACCAGCAGAGGGAGACATCGTCACGCTTACAACCATTTACCAGAGGACGAACACAGGTTGCATCACTGAGATATTGAGATTTATCAAGAGATACAGGTGGATTTGCTGATAAGTAGAAGTGTTCAAACAAAGGAGAAAAAAAAAGAGAAAGAATGAAACAGTAAAACTGCAAACAGTGTTTACTTTATGGAGCTTTTTAGCCACAGTGTTTTTTTCTTAAATTATAGCTGTTGTCTACTGCAGCAAATACTTGGCAATAAATGAAGCCCTCATCCTGTCTTCATTTTCTCTCTGGTAAAGTGTTTCTGTCTCAGGTTTTTGGCAAAGTTTCTTTTGGCTGCACAGTAAAAGTTTTGACTGGCACGATGAGCTCCTGAATCCTTTTCCTTTGCCTTGTCTCCCACCTTCCTCTCCCTTTGTGACTTTCTGTCTCCTGTGTTTGAAACTCTCAGTCTCCAAATTTTATGCCTGATGTTTTCATCTCTGAATGGAAACAATAAATGTTTTATGCACACAGTTGCTTATGCAATTCATAATCGCAGAATGACATAAGACTCCGGGAGGTGTTTCTAAAACTTCACCATGTTTCTGTTTGAGCCCTTTAATTTTACACCTAATCATTTACTTAGTGGATTATATGACTCACTTAATGTCAATGTGTAAAGGAAATATAATTTTTGCAGAAGTAATTTATAAAATGCGGCACCAAATTTAGAATCAGCTACTACATAATAAAACTCCCTGGTATTAAAATACATTAAGCTGTTGTGGTTATAAAACCATAAAAAAAGAGAATAGCGAAGCACAAATGCACATTGCTGTGTGACCTTTAGTGGCAGTAGGTCAGGATGTGTCTGTAAGATGGATATCAGCAGGAGAAAAAAAACTTTCAAGTCTCTTGAGATCTTTTTCCTGACAATCTAAACATGCTGGCTGCTGTAAATCGATTCTGATTTTGAGATGTTTCAGATTTGCCAACAGTAAAGAAAGCAGTTTATGCAACACAGCAGCAGATAGGATGTCCTGATCATCCAGGGAAGTTCATATGCAGCATTTATCGCCTATTTCTTTGAACGTAGATTCAAAGGGTTTGATCTTCAAAGCTCCTTATCACTCTTGATTACCGAAGCAAACTACAGCTCCTGGTCCTGCCCAGATTGGATTTGTTTTTTTGTCTTTGCTTCAAAAATGTTTGTGGTTATAACTTTCTGTTCTGTGACATAAGACAGTTGCATTGAAAGAGTTGGACTAAATTCAAGCACATCTTCTCACTAAACACTTTCATTATTGTACAGTTTGCTTTGTTTGACCATAAACTCTACCAACTGTGTAGCAAGTTTGCTACTTTCTTAGCATTCTACTAAAACCTGATATTTAGATACACAACTTTTAGGAGGGATGTTTTAGTAGCTTGATTCACAGTCAAAAGCATCAAACACTAACATTTCTATAACTTTTAAGCAAGTTTGGAAATCCGAGATGTTATGACGTGAATTGTGATTAACTCTAATTCAAGCTCAATTTCAAGTTTATTTTCTAAAATGGGATAATACGTATTAATGTACATTTATTTAAAGACATACAGTTACCGCCAGGTACTTAATTTCTATCACTAGTCCCTTTGACAGGTTGATGTTAAAGCATAAAAATAAATACAGTGTTGAAAAACACAAACTAACACTACAGACAAAGAACTATTCATTGTACTCAATGTTGACATTTTTGACTTTCCATGTTTGGCTTTCATCTTTGAGTCCAATATTTAGATATCTGAAGATGGCAGGTTCATCTGTTCAAAAACCATCATAAAATTCAGAAAGGAGACTCTGTGCCACATATATTTTGGTGTGAAATTTCCTAAGAAACTCCAGAACAAAAGCGAAAGATCTTGTAAAGATGGTGGTTGAAGTCATTGTGGACAGCCTGAGGACACCACGAAGGAGTAAACTTTCTGATCAGGTTACGTCCCTTTGCAGGTTTTCCTGAAACGTTACATGGCAGACATGAAGTTCACTGGAGGGACTTCTGGCCCAGGAACAGCTGGAGTGAGCTACAAGTTGTTGCTGAGAAGCGTGTTGTCTGGATTTCCCCCCGGAACATTTGACCCTCGGCGACCTGTTCCCTTTCAGAGTGGCTGAAGACAATAGATGGATGTCAATACACTTAGGTTTGTATGTTTTTTAGAACAATTGCCAAATTGTGTGGCTTTCCGTCCGGTTAAAAGGCAATTCAGGTCTGCAATTGGATCGATTGCAGGAATTACGCAGAGACAGAAAAAGAACCAAGCATGCTGGCAATTTCACCAAGAAAATGACCCGTTTTAATTAAATGAACATGTCTGGAGGTGACGACTGGACCCAAAAATACATGGGAGCAAGAAGACGACGCACAACCAGAGTTCGAAAAGACAACCACGTCACCTCTGTGCAGCTGGAACCTCTAATAGGTTTAGTTCAGAAAATAATGTTCAGCCTAAAGTTCTGGCAATGATTTGACAAAACTCAAAAATCAATAAGCAACTTATGAAAACAATGAATACGAATGTAGAATTTGACACAATTAGAAAAGGTTTTGTTATTAAGAAGCAAAATTAAAGCAATCTGGGTAATGAGACATGTTGTGGTTCACAAGAACTGAGTCAAAATCATCCTTCGCAAAGCTAACTGTTAATGAGGTAATTCAGAAAAAAGTCTCAACTCAAGCCATTATGTTTCAGTAAAAATGCCCAACAAAAGGGAGATTTACACAGGAAAGTTAGAATTAGCAACTTGAGCCATTATGCAGCTCCAAATTAGTTTCAGGCTGCTTAAATTACCAAAGTTTCGTTTCTTTTGCAATCTGATTAAACAGTTTTGATACAATCTCAGCAAATTAACAATCAAGATGTCTTTGATTCATGTTTTTCAGAGGAACAGGAAAAAACAATCTTTAAAACTCTGATAACTGAGTTTCTGGAAATGAACCGACTGGCCCTGATTTTCTTTCTGATATAAACATGAAGAAGCAGCAGAAACTCCCGTGGGAGACAGAAATGTCTCATGTATGATTCTGACTTCGGATGCTTTCATAGCCTTCAGATTATGAGCTTAATTGCTTTCCCAAAGTACAAATGTTTATTGTTTAAGCTCCTGCAGAAGGAACTTTGTGAAAGCAGGGCCGCGACTCCGCGACATTGAAGACACTCGGCAAAGACTCTCAAAACAAACACACTGGAGGCTCTGAAGACTGAAGCAGGAAGCAAGCTGGAAATAGATTGTCACAAATTGTCACAGCAGGATTGAAGAGGAGCTCAGGAACTGTCAACCTTCACAACCAGGAGCCTCAGGATCAAAAACCTGAGCTCAGATTATGTTTCACTCTGGGATCAGATGTTCAGCAAAACATAAGCACTGATTTATTTCACCAGGATGACAGAGTTTGTTCCCTCTCAAAGCAGACTGTACCAGGGGTGATTATGTAACACCCAAACAGGTCAACAGTATTTCGACCCAGCTGGAGAGCCTTCCATCAGCCTGAGTTGATGAAATGTCATCATGTGTTTTCACTGCTTTTTGATGGTCCATTTAGGATGGCATGAGATCATTTTCAATCTTTGAGTAAATTCAGTTCTGTAAATGACAAAAATGAATAAAGAAAAGCATATAAGTGGCATAAACATCATGTTGATTCTGTTCTTTTCCTGGATCACTACTGCACTTTCAACAGAAAGAAGACATTACAAATACACAGTACTCTTAGTCAAAGTATTCTCCTCCAAATATATTTCTTGTTTCTATCTGTAGTCACCGTTAAATGCTGCAGTTCATCAAACAAATATTATTATGGTAATTATGACAGCTGTAGTAAATACAAGCTGCGTCTTGTGCTTTTGAGTCAAGCTAAATAATGAAGGTTTTGGAGTGGCCTAGTCAAAGTCAACACCTAAAACCGATGGAGATGCTGTGGCATCATGCTAAAGAATCCTCTCATATCGGTCAGTACTCCTCCACGATGTAGTGAAAAACTCTTCATGGTTGCTGATGCCTCAAAATGTGACCCAGTTTATTACGTTTAGAGGGAAATCACTTTATTAAGATGAAAAAAGGAAAGAAAGAAATCTGGCTATTTGTCATCAACTACACTTCAGGGGTGAGTGGTTCTATAAGGTTCTGCAGTATTGTGCTCCAGTTTGTGGTGGAGGAATATTTCGCATGCCACGCTGCTACAACAATGGCTACGATTGTGGATTTGGTGGCTTATGAGATAAAGGAATAATTGTGGGGGAAGACATCTTGCTCAAGCAGAGTAAAGTGAGTAGCGGATAAGAAGGATGCAAGAGAATGGTTAGGATGATTTCAGCGTCAAACAGACCCAGTAAAATGAGCAGCAACA